CTTACAAGACCAAGTAGGAATGTCCTTTATCGTTTGTTGTTTGCCCGCTGCTCTCGACAAGTTAGTGCTCTCAACAAAATTCGAAACACAACACTGATCTCAACTTACTTTCACATCTATCGTTGCCAGTAGTCTCAGTAGGGCTACAATTGCCATCTAGCAGTTGGGAATTGTAATTAAATTTTGATTTATAAAATGAAAGACAGCCGAATATTAATAATATCATATAATGTGTATTAATGTAACATTTAACAGCTTGTGGGATGCATGACATCATATTATCAAATGCTAATTTAAATGTTTCAAAATTTTACTTGCATTTGATAAGAAGCTGTGTGGGCGAAAATTACATGTAAACAATTTTAAGGCTATTTTGGCTATACTCATCGCTGGTCTGGTTACTGGTATAGGGCTATAACCAAGCCATTAAAATTAGACCACGGATTGCCTTGATTTCGCCAGGTGGGCTACAAGCAGACTACATGTAGCCCATCCAATTTAGAGCTAAATCGTGACTACATATAGACCATGTCATGAAATGACACTTGTATATCTTTGTAGATATTATTGACACTGCAAACATGATGGGATATCAACCATCTCATGTGCTGCCTGGCCAAAAACTACAGTGAATCAGGTTTGACTAGAAGTGGGCTACAGATAGCCGCTCTGACTACGAGCTAAATCGTGGCTACGCACAGGCTACGTATTGAACATGCCAAAGAAGTGAAACCAAACACCTTGTAAACGCTGTTGACTTTGCTTACATGATGAAATATCATACATCTCACAAGTTATTTTGCCAAAAAACGACATGAACTGGGAACTGTCTACAGCTCTTTTATATCATTGTCTTTGTCCATTAAGCTACGTTATGCGTTTTATTTATAATTATTTTCTATAGGAGGAAAGTGTTTAACGTGCAATTTAACCATTGCGTTCTGAGCTTCTCTGCTTGCCTGTACGGATCGATCCTTTTAAAATCACTTAATACATTTCATAATACACGTTCATATTTGCTGGTCTGTATATACTTTGAGTCAACAACAAGACATATAGGCTAGGCCTACTGAATTGTCTTTATCATCTTAGTCCGTTATTATGCCACATTAAGCGTTTTGCTTTATGGGAGGACAAGTGAAAGTTTGCGCATTGTGTTCATAGCCATTTGCTTGCCTTATAGTACATTAAATAATAACTATGTATCGAATTTGATCTTTTTATTGCACTTAATGTATCTTAATACATTAAGCCATATTAAGTGTTTGTTTTTTCTACGGGAGGAAAACTCTTAACAAGAGACTTTGCGCATGCGTTCATATTCTGCTGTTCTGTGGCCACGGATTTGCGGGTCTTGTCTTTTTCTTGCAGGACCCTGTACGTTATAGTACTAATTTAGTTTTAATTGTTTAATCACCACCACAGCTTCTTGTCTCCATTGGCAACATGCACGATTTGTGTCGACTGCAAGTGACGTCGCAGGTAGCGGAGAGTGCAAGTGGCGATTGCAAGTGACTTTGTAATTTAGTTTATTTTTTCTTGTCTTCACCACCTGGCTACTGTTGTAAAATGTTGAGAGATTCAAACAAAAAGTAATCAATAAATAGAACAAAATAAAATACTGCATATGACGTCGCTAGCGGAAGCACAAGTGTCTGAGAGTGCAAGTCTGAGAATCCAAGTCTGTGGCCCTGTCCCAAATGGCACCCTAAACCCTCGTGATCTTCCTCTGAGTCTGCACTTTCGTGACGTAATGCCACTTTGACTGTCGGGTAGAAGTTTGCTGTGGAGCTCGCCCCAGTGCGGGCTCGGCAGAAGTGCGGATCGAGGGCGCATAGCGGCCGCAAAGGGGGCGCTCTAGAGCACCCTTCTGAACGCAAAAATGACAAATGGGACACCCTACGGTCTCGTGGACTTAACGGCCATTGTAAGTCCACATGAAGTGTGCCATTTGGGACAGGGCCTGTGAGTGCAAGTGCAAGTCTGTCATGCACATCTCGTTGAGAAGGGTCTGGCTGCAATCACATGCGATTTATCGTGCAGCCCTAAGTTTGTTTGTTGATCACAAAGTACAAAGTAGATGAGGAAAACTAGGAAGCTGGGTGTATTCAAAGCACCGCCATTACTGTCTAGAGTGCGTGGAATGGTGCGCTGTGGTTGGTTGAGCGGATATATCGCATTTTGCGTAAAATTAAAAATTAACTTTTCAATACCGACCAGATACCATACTGATTTTGGCGGAAAGTCAATTTAAAAAAAAAAAAGGCGTTTAGCGCATTTTGGAACCAAACTCTTCATATGATTATTCAATGCAGAATTTACTATTATTCAGCAGCCACTGTGTTTTATGCTTATAGGATAGAAAATATTACAATAAAAGATCTAGTTTTTATTAAAATATATATTTAAATGGATCCTACAATTTAGCAGTGTGATCTTAAACAGCTAAGGCTTTCTTTTTCTCTTTAAAAATGAATTCTCTGATAGTTTTCCTGAAAATGCTGTTTTTGAATCTGCTAACAGGCTTAAATATGAGACAATAGATTCAGATTTCCAGACTCACAGGAACCACACAAATTTAAAAAACAATCTCCTATGGATCTTCCAGGTAGGAAAACGCATTTTCATAAATATTTATATTTATAACAAACAAATAGGTTACTGATGAAAAAAAAAAGGCTCAACAGAAATTAGATTTTTTAATTCCTGTTGACTATTAACATTTCATTTTAAGAACCCATAAATTAATGTGAAACTTTTTTTTTTTTTTTTTACAATTACTTCTTCACATTTGTTCTTTTATCTGGTTTCTTTTACAAATATTAAACATTTCTGAATAATTAGTTTTGACTGAACATTGAAGTATATTTCATTTAATTTTGTTGTTCTGTCTCATTTTTTCTTGCTTTGTTTGTAGAATCTAGAGAACAAAATAATCACATTTCTGAAGAATGAACTGAAAAGGTTTCAGAAAATATTACAAAAGGAAAACACACATTACTTTGTTAAGGACTTTAATGAGAATAGATGCAGTATCAAAGAAGCAGCTCTTGAACTCACACTACACTTCCTGAGAGAGATCAAGCAAGATGAAGCTGCTAATACTCTAGAAGGTAAGATACTCATGACCATCTGTCAGGTTGTCACTTATAAATGTAGACTGAAACCATTTATAAATGAAGAATAAAACTATACATTGTTTCTGTGTTTAGATGAGCTGTTATTCATCCATCAACTAAAATGTGGCCTAAAGGAGAAGTATAAATGTGTGTTTGAAGGAATTGCAAAGCAAGGTGACTCCACACTTCTAAATAACATCTACACAGATCTCTATATCACTCAGGGTTGTAGTGAACAGGTCAATACTGAACATGAAGTAAGACAGATTGAAGTTACTTCCAAGCATCATAATTCACAAGAGATAAAGGTTGAATGCAAAAAAATGTTTGAAGCACCTGAACAAGACAAAGAGATCAGAACTGTACTGACAAAAGGTGTTGCTGGCATCGGAAAATCAGTCTCTGTGCAAAAGTTTGTTCTGGATTGGGCTGAAGGAAAAGAAAATCAAGATATCAGCTTCATATTTCCTCTTCCATTAAGAGAGATGAACTTAAAGGAGAAAGAAACCCAAAGTTTGATGAATCTTATAACTCAGTGTTTCACAGAGACAAAAGGACTGAACCTTACAAGAAGAAATAATTTCAAAGTCCTGTTCATCCTTGATGGATTGGACGAATGTCGTCTTCCTCTAAACTTTGATGGTAATGAGACGTGGTCTGATGTATCGTCACCAGTCTCTCTGGATGTTCTCCTCACAAACCTCATCAAGGGAAATCTGCTTCCTTCTGCTCTCATCTGGATCACCACCAGACCAGCAGCTGCCAGTAAGATTCCTCCTGACTGTATCGACCGGGTAACAGAAATACGAGGATTCAATGATGCACAAAAGGAGGAGTACTTCAGAAAAAGATTAAAGGATGAGAATCTGGCCAAAGAAATCATTGATCATGTTAAACAATCAAAGAGTCTCTTCATCATGTGCCACATCCCAGTCTTCTGCTGGATTTCAGCCACTGTTCTCCAGAATATCTTGGAAGAGAAAAGAAGTAATGATCTGAAAAGCAATGAGTCTGGTGATGCCTCCAAAACACTGCAGGAATCAAATACTGAAGACACTCCTAAGACTCTGACACAAATGTACACACACTTTCTCCGCTTTCAGATCCAGCAGAGCAGACGAAAGTATGATGGAGAATACAGACCAGATGTTTCCTGGGATAAAGATGCTATACTTTCACTGGGGAAACTGGCATTTCATCAGCTAGATATAAGCAATGTAATCTTCTATGAATCAGATCTGGAAGCCTGTGGTATTGACGTCTATAAGGCATCAGTGTATTCAGGCATGTGTACCCAGATCTTTAAGGAGGAAACAGGGATCATTCTTGGTACCATGTACTGCTTTGTTCACTTGAGCATTCAAGAGTTTATTGCAGCCCTTTATGCTCATTTGTTTATAGACATTAACCTGAAGAAAACGGGAAACAAAAATGAAGCCATGATTGATTTTCTCAAGACTGCAGTGGACAAAGCACTCGAGAGTGACAATGGACACCTGGACCTTTTCCTTCGCTTCCTTCTCGGTTTGTCACTCCAGTCCAATCGGCTACTCTTACGAGGTCTGTTGACACAGGAAGATGGCAATGACCAGAGCAAAAAGGAAATAGTTCAGTACATCAAGCAGAAATTAGAAGCTAATCTGTCTCCAGAGAGATCCATCAATTTGTTCTACTGTCTGAATGAACTGAATGATCAAACTCTGGTGAAAGAGATTCAGACCCACTTTAACAAAGGAAGTTTCTCATCTTCTGACCTTTCACCTGCTCAGTGGTCTGCTTTGGTCTTTGTGTTGTTGACATCAGAGGAAGAGATGGAGGAGTTTGAGCTTCAGAAATTCAAGAAATCAGATGAGTGTCTCATCAGACTATCAGCAGTCATCAAAACCTCCAAAAGAGCTTTGTAAGTTAAAGTCTTAGTTTTTTTTTTGCTTTCATCTGAAAAATCCAATTATCTATATTAGGGTTTCCATGTGTCCTGGAAAATCATGGAATATGAGAGCAAATGTGAAATGTCCTGACAAATCTTGTTGTTGTCCTGGAAAGTTATTACAAATTTTTTATTGTGTTTTACTTTAGCTGAAAATGAAGAGTTTTATTTTCCTTTAAATAATTAATGTTAGTTGGGGAAAGTGCTATGCTCAGGAATGCTGAGGTTTGAAACATAAAAGTATTTTTAATGATTATGTTTAGTGTCATATTTGCTCTTGTAGCAGCTAATGTTATTAAATGCTCAAATGTTTGCAGTGAATTTCAAGAGATACTCCGCTACCAAACCTTATTAATATGATTTCAGTAACTTGCTAACCAATTATTTTGATACAGTATAAGCCAGGGCTCTGCATGGCAACCTACAACAATCACAGCATGTTTTATTTAGTTCTGATCATTGTCAGAAGTGCTGATACTTTGGCACCAAGACAATACCAACACTGAAATACATAAGTATAAATCAGGGCTGTACAGTGCGACATATGTCGCACGTGCTACGAAAAAACTGGTCTGTGCGATGAATACATTTACCACTGTAGCACGCATGTGATACAGTTTTGCCACTTAATAGTTTGAAGTGATTTTATTGTGCTTGTTTGTGTGTGTGAGATTGATTATACTTGGTTAGGGGTGTGCGATATGCCGATTTTTGATCGTGGAAGATTAAATGTCTCCACGGTCTGCTTTTGAAGAAATATCAAAAATCGTGCTACAGCGCACATTCTATAAGCTGCAGTTCTGGCGCCTCTGTCTCAATATAATGTACAATGTGACATACATTCACATTAAATGTTAACCTTGCAGTAGAGTTATACTAACGAGACACTCGTTACCCCTCGGTAGAAATCACAATCGCTGTCCGGGGTTGGTGGAGGAGGTGTTCCCCCTCCGTACAGATCGTGTTCCGCATTCCCCTCAGTAAATGGCGTTCCGGGAGGATCCCTCTCGGTAGAAATCACGTTTCCCTCTCGTGGGGCCCCCCTCCATCGTCGGACACTTATGGCGCTTTTCCACTGCACGGTACGGCTCGGTACGGTTCACTTTTGGGGGGTTTTCCACTGGGTACAGTACCTGGTACCTGGTACTTTTTTTAGTAACTAGTGAAAATTGAGTTGTTGATATCAAGAATTAACATTGTTACTAGTGAAAATTGAATTGTTGATATCAAAAATAGCAATTGTTAAATATAGTTCCTGATATCAAGAATTAGCATTTTAACTAGTGAAAATTGAATTGTTGATATCAAGAATTAACATTGGTACTAGTGGAAATGTAATTGCTGTTATCAAACATAGCAATTGTTACTAGTAGAAATCTAATTCCTGATATAAAAAATTTACATTTTAAGTAGTAAAAATGTAATTGTTGATATCAAGAATTAACATTGTTCCTAGTGGAAATGTAATTGCTGATATCAAAAATAGCAATTGTTACTAGTAGAAATCTAATTCCTGATTTCAAAAATTAACATTTTAACTAGTAAAAATTGAATTGTTGATATCAAGAATTCATATCCTGAGAATTAATAAAAGTCAAAACGGCTTGCCATATGCGTGCACCTCTTAAAGCGACAGAACTAAACATGCTGCGGCTTGTCATTAAAGAAATAGTTCACACAAAAATTTAAGTTATGTCATTATTTACTCGCTCACATGTTGTCACAACCCTGTATTAATTTCTTTCTTGTGCTGAACACAAAAGAAGATATTTTGAAGAATGTGGTTAACCAACCAGTACCAGACTTTGATAGTAGGGGGTGACATACTATGGAAGTCACTAGGGACCAGCAACTGCTTGGTTACCCACATTTTTCAAAATAACTTTTATGTTCAACAGAAGAAAGAAACTAATTCAGGTTTAAAACCACTTGAGAGTGATTAAATGAGGGTATAAAATAAAACACTATGACAATTTTCATTTTTGGGTGAACTATTCTTTTAATGTTAATAAAACAACAAAACGGAAAAAATCACTCACTGCTCATGACTGATGAACTTTAATACAGTTGCTTTAAAAAATGTATAATTGATATATAGTGTTTTATTTTAATATTTGTACATTCAATTTATTGAATGTTACTGTTAAATACTGTACCTGAAAAAATAAAGCACTGTTTGTTTTATTTGTATATTATGTGTATTTGTAATGTATATCTTTGTTCTTATTTTCTGATAACAACGATAAAAATGACAAAGATTTTTATCTTTGCCCACTTTGGCCTAAATGTCTGCCATCCTTTTTTATTTTATATTTTGTTACCTCGAAAGTCATTTTTTTTTACAATAGGGAAATTAGTTTGGCTGTACTGCTCAGGCAACTTGCAAAACAGTAAAACCATCATGACAAAGAATCGTGATTAAAATTGTGAATTGTGATATTCCTGAAAAAAAAATTGTGATATGATATTTTTGCCATGTCGCCCACCCCTAACTTGTGCTACAACTGTTTGGCCTGTGCTACAAAACTTTCAAACTCTGTGCTGTGTGTGAAAAAAGTTAAAGGGTTAGTTCACCCAAAAATTAAAATTAGCCCATGAATTACTCACCCCCAAGGCATCCTAGGTGTATATGACTTTCTTCTTTCAGACAAATCCAATCGGAGTTATATTAAAAATTGTATTTGATCTTCCAAGCTGTTTAATGGCAGTCAGCGGGTGTTGCAGTGCATCAGTCCAAAATAAGTGAAATAAAGCGCATCCATTCATAACAAAAAGTGCCTCATACAGCTCCGGGGGGTGAACAAAGGCCTCCTGTAGCGAATTGATGCCTTTTTGTATGAAAAGTATCTAAATTCAAAATGAAATAATCACTTTAATCTAGCTTGCGCCAACAGTTGTACACGGAAGCAGTTCCGGGTGGATGGCGTATGAAGTCGGCATTGTGTATATATAGTATATATACAGTGGGGAAAAAAAGTATTTAGTCAGCCACCAATTGTGCAAAAAAGTGAGTACACCCCTCAAATTTCAGCAACCATTTTATTATATATTGTCAAGGGACAATACTATAGAAATGAAAATTGGATATACTTTAGACTAGTCAATGTGCAGCTTGTATTGCAGTACATATTTACTGTCCTCTAAAAATAACTCAACATACAGCTATTGCTATCTAAATAACTGGCAACAAAAGTGAGTACATCCTAAGTGAATATGTAAAAACTGTGTCCAAAGTGTCAATATCTTGTGTGAGCACCATTGTTATCTAGCACTGCCTTAATCCTCCTGGGCATGGAATTCACCAGAGCTGCACAGGTTGTTGCTGGGATCCTCTTCCACTCCTCCATAATGACATCACGGAGCTGCTGGATGTTAGACACATGGCGCTTCTCCACCTTCCGCTTGAGGATGCCCCACAGGTGCTCAATAGGGTTCAGGTTTGGAGACATACTTGGCCACTCCATCACCTTTACCTTCAGCTTCCTCAGCAAGGCAGCTGTCATCTTGACGGGGTGTTTGGGGTCGTTATCATGTTGGAAAACTGCAGTTCGGCCCAGTTTCTGAAGGGAAGGCATCATGTTCTGCTTCAGAATGTCACATTACATGCTGGATTCCATGTTTCCCTCAATGAAACGCAGCTCTCCAGTACCAGCAGCACTCATGCAGCCCCAGACCATGATGCTACCACCACCATGCTTGACTGTAGGCAAGACACAATTTCCTTGGTACTTCTCACCAGGGCGTCGCCACACATGCTGGACACCGTCTGAGCCAAACAAGTTTATCTTAGTCTCATCACAGGACATGGTTCCAGTAATTCATGCTCTTGGACAGGTTGTCTTCAGCAAACTGTTTGCGGGCTTTCTTATGAGCCAGCTTTAGAAGAGGCTTCCTTCTGGGACGACGGCCATGCAAACCGAATTGTTGCAGTGTGCGGCATTGGGTTTGAGTACTGACAAGCTGACCTCCCGCTTCTGCAACCTCTAAAGCAATGCTGGCAGCACTCATGCCTCTGTTTTTTGAAGCCAGCTTCTGTACCTGACGCACAGCACGAGGGCTCAACT